TTTTTAATTATATTGAATTTATATATTAATTTGGTAACAATTGATATGTTAATTTTGTACCTTCTCACTCATGGATGTGATACCTATATTTATTACTAGGGTTAGGATTTTCTCTTATATGGTTTTTTAGTTTTCTCTATAAAGGCCTTATATAATTTATTATATTTATTCCTAAATATTTTATAGTTGTTGCTGTTATCTGCTGATAGCTAATTGTTTTACATGTGGAATGAAAACATGTGTTTTACATTGTTTCTCAGTGGAATGAATTTTATCTTTGGTAACTTTTAAGGATTTCTTTTTCTGTTGCACTACAGTGGAACTGGAAATAAATTTTATTTTATTATCCTTCTTTGGACTCCAGAATTTTCCATCTGAGAATTTATATTTTTATGAATTCTGGAAAACTCTCAGCTATTATCTCTTAAAATATTGTCCCCCTCTGCCTATATTCCCTCTGTGGTCTACTGGCAGCTCTGAGACATACACTGAGGGCCTCTCTGTATGGAATCCTCCCGTGTAGAACCTGGGACCTCCTCTCCAGGCCTGCTGTATCCTCCTCAGAGCCTCCTCGACCCATGTCCTTCGGAGTTTTTATCTTTTTGCTGTAGAAGAAAGGGTAAATATGGACTATGCTGAGTATGGGAAGGAATTGGGATTGTTTTTTTACAGAGTTAAGAATCCTCCACTTCACTCCTGCCTTACATATTACCTGGTGTCTCTAATCCCTGAAGCTGTCCTTTTGCTGGCATTTGGATTTACTTTTTCCCATATACTAGTGGATTCTAATTATACACTGTTTTCTCCATCTTGTTAGTGTGGTTCAGGATTATAGAAGATGCTTTTTGGTTTCATCAAATGTGGAGTTTGTTTCTGTTTTTGCTGTCTTTGTTGTTTTGTGCCATTTTTGAGATAAGTGGCATTGAAATGATTTGAAACCAAAAGTCCTCTACCATTCATTCTTTAGCTTGCTTCAGTCTATCCTCTGCTCCCACCACTACACCAAAACTCTTCTTATAAGGTCTCAAAAGGCCTCCGTTTTGCCAAATGCAATGTTCATTTTCCTTTCTCTGTCTCACTTGAACTCTGAGCTGTATTAAAATAGATGACTAGTATCCCCATCTTAAAACATTGTTTTGTTAGCTTCACTGATACTAAACTGTCCTAGTTTCCTTTCTATTCACTAGTAGCTCCTTGCCAATTTTCTTTATTGGCTTTTTCTACTCTGTCCCTCCCCAAAATATTGATGTCCCCTGGGTTCAATACGAAGTCCTCTTCTCTCTTCTGTTACAGGTCCCCACCCTCCTATTACCTTATTTAGCCCCACTACTTTACATGCCATCAAGTACCAGTAACTTCCAAATCTTTATTTCTGCTAACTTTTCCCTTAGTTCCAGATTTGTATATCCAACTACTCACTTGATATCTCCACCAAGTTTTCTAACAGACACTATGAAACTCATTCCTACATTGCATTTGCTGCTTTCTGTCTGAAATGTTCTTACTATTTTTCAAATCACTGGTACCCCATTATCCCTAATATATCTACTCAAGTGTCACGTCCTCTGAAGCTTCCCTGATCACCCTACCTAAAGAAGTGCCTGATATAAGTTTTATTTGCTTTATTTGCTTTATTTCCTTCACAGAGCTTGTCTGGAATTCTTTTGTGTGCTTGCTTGTTTACTGTCTGCTCTCCATATGGACCTCTATTACCTCTATAAAGGTGGACTTTGTTGATCATATCTTCTGCTGAATTCTAAGTACCTAGAACAGTACCTGGTGTATGGCAGAAGCTAATAAATTCTCGCTTAATTGGTTAACTTTATTAATAAAAAATGGGGACTTCTGGACAAGATGGAGGCATAGGTAGATACATTTTGCCTCCTCACAGAACCAAAAGAAGGACAACAACAAATTTAAAAAAAAAAAAAAACAACAAAAACCAGAACTCCCAGAAAATCAACTGGGTGGAAGTGTAACAACCAAGGAGTTAAAGAAGAAACATTCATCCAGACCAGTAGGAAGGGAGGAGATGGGCAGCAAGGGGGTGGCTGACAAAGCAGGTGGTCCTGTGTTTACACGCGGATAAACCAGGAGTAACAACTGGGGAGTGAGACAGACCATGCAACCCAGGATTCCAGTGGGGGAAAGAAAGCTTCAACCCTTCTGACTGAAATAACCAATGGGGGTTGCATCAGAGAGAGAAACTCCCAGCCTCAAAGGAGAGTTCGTTGGAGAGACCCACAGAATCCTAGAACAGACACAAACCCACCCACCTGGGAATAAGCACTAGAAAGTCCCACTTTGTGGGTAGCAGAGGAAGTTACTGGAAAACGGCCAAGAGCTCAGCAAGTGACATTGTTCCTTCTTGGACCCCTCCCCCACATACAGTGCTACAACCCAGCCATATGGGTTGACCCACTCTGGTGAATAACTGCAGCTTGGTGTGACAAGACAAAAACATACGGCCCAAAAGAACAAACAGATCGAAGTTCCAGAAAAAAGTACAACTGAGTAATGAGGAGATAGCCAACCTATCAGATGCACAGTTCAAAACACTGGTAATCAGAATGCTCACAGAAATGGTTGAGTGTGGTCACAAAATAGAGGAAAAAGTGAAGGCTATGCAAAGTGAAATAAAGGAAAATATACAGGGAACCAACAGTGAAGGGAAGAAAACCAGGACTCAAATCAACAATTTGGAACAGAAGGAAGAAAGAAATATTCAACCCGAACAGAATGAAGAAACAAGAATTCAAAAAAATGAGGAGAGGCTCAGTTACCTCCAGGACAACTTTAAGCATTCCAACATCCAAATCATAGGGGTACCAGAAGAAGAGGAAGAGCAAGAAATGGAAAACCTATTTGAAAACATAATGAAGGAGAACTTCCCCAATCTGGGGAAGGAAATAGACATCCAGGAAGTCCAAGAAGCCCAGAAAGTCCCAAAGAAGCTGGACCCTGATGTGGACCCCGGCTTGTGGGGTCCACGTCATTATGGATGAAATGAGACATTCACACGGATTACTGAATCTGGTAGAGGAAAAGGGACAACATGGCTTTTCTCTCAAGGGGAGCAAAAACCTTGGCCCTCGCTCCAGTGAGCTTTTATTGTCTTACTGGGCACATTACAAGAAGGTCCTCATTAACTATGCACAGGCTCGATTTAGGAGGTTAATTTACACAGAAAACAAAGGAGAGGATGCTGGTAATCACATCACAGAAGAGGGATATTTGCAAATGAAAAGGCAAAATTAGTTGGACCAGTTACACTCATCTTTGGAAGGTTTAGCATGGTTTTTAGAAAGTTGCTTTGCAGTAAATGTCCTCAATTCAGGGTGAGGGACTTTTAGCAAAAAGCAAGACTCGTAGCGGCCTAGGTATATTGCAGGCCTGATTCCCCATGGGAAAACCTCTCCATGGGCATGGGTCCTGTGCATTTCCCAGTGGGAGCTGGGCGCACACCACGCAGAGTGACCTCCCACAGACCCAAGGAAGCATACAACAAGGCACATCATAATGGTGTTACCCAAGATTAAAGATAAAGAGAGAATCTTAAAAGCAAGAAAAAAAAAGGAGACAGTTACCTACAAAGGAGTTCCCATAAGACTCTCAGTTGATTTCTCAAAAGAAACCTTGCAGGCAAGAAGGGGCTGGAGAACAGTATTCCAAGTCATGAAAGGCAAGGACCTACATCCAAGATGACTCCATCCAGCAAGCTATCATTTAGAATGGAAGGACAGCTAAAGTGATTCCCAGATAAGGTCAAGTTAAAGGAGTTAATCGTTACTAAGCCCTTATTATATGAAATATTAAAGGGACCTATCTAAGAAAAAGAAAGAAGATAAAAAATACAAACATTAAATGACAACAAACTCACAACTATCAACAACTGAACCTAAAAAAAAAAAAAATAAGAACAGAATAAGCAAACAACTAGAACAGAAACAGAATCACAGAAATGGAGATCACATGGAGGGTTATTGGGGTGGGGGAAAAAGAGGGAAAAGCAACAGGGAATGAGTAGCATAAATAGTAGATAGAAAATAGACAGGAGAAGGTTCGGAATAGTATAGGAAATGTAGAAGCCAAAGAACTTACATGTAGGACCCATGGACATGAACTAAAGTGGGGGAATGATGGTGGGAGATGGGGTGCAGGGCAGAGGGAAATAATGGGGAGAAAAAATGGGACAACTTTAACAGCATAATCAATAAAATATATTTTAAAGATATTAAAGGGAACTTTTCTCCTATTAGCACGTTGTCAAATATGTTCTAATTTGGTAGGAATAGCTTCTTACCTAAGAATCAAATTCACAAAATTAAAGGGTTTTTTTTTTTTCCACAAAGGAATAGCCATACTCATTTTTACCTGGAAAACCATAGACCATCTTTGGACTTCTCTTGCCACATTAATAACCTTAAAGATGAAACATAGGCTTGTTTGTAAACAGAATTGTTAACTGCTAACTATTGATGAGGATTTTAAAAATCTAGAAATATTAATAGAAAAAAATTTTAAAGTATGGAAATTTTAGATTGCCTTTATTTTCTGATAAATTTATTCTGATCGCAGGGTCACATCATTGAGCATTGAAGTTGTTTTCTACCAATTATCTCTCTCTGATGGCCTCATGCCAATAAAAGTAACCACAGTGTGTGTGAAAGTATTTTGATAATCAGATCTTCTGTGGTTTTTATAAAATGAAAACATTGTGTTAAAAATATTTTACCAGTACTTTGACTGTTAGATGGTTAGGATTTTGCTATCTCTCCTAATTTAATAAAAGCAAAATTGTGTACTGAATAAATTAAATTTTTGTTGAATTGTTCAGCTTAGTATCCTGCAGCTTGATAGGAATTTTGGTTATTACCTAATACTGCTAAAAGGAAGAAAAATACCATCTGAAGTATTTTGTGGTTATTGATATCTATATTAAATACATTCTTTAAAATTTTACTGCATTTAAACAATCCAGTTGAACTTTTTTCTTTTAGATTTCCGGTATCTGCTACAACAGCAAAATATTACAAGTTCACCAGGTGCTGTACATCCCTAGCTGGATGGCAAGGTTCTTTTCGTGGACGCTTGAGCCTATCTTCTCATCTTCAGAACCCACCACCGAAGCCAGAATTGGGATGGGGGCCACAGTGGACATCCAGAGACAGCAGAGAATGGAAGTGCTTGATCGGCAGCTGATGCTGTCTCAGTTTACACAGGCAAGGCGACAAAGGCAGCAGCAGGTAAACGATAATAATTAAAAATTCAAAAATACTCAGTGGCCTATGTAAACTTTTCCTCTGTGACTATATGTGTGGTAGAGACTATATTTTATTCCTCTGCATTGCAGTGTGGATATTTGACAAGTTTCTGAATAGCTATAGGTCTCTGTTAGTGGGTAGACTCAGTTTGTTTTCCTTTCAAGTTAAAAAAATAAATTGCAGCTGAAAAACTGGTCAAACTGGACATTGTTGTTTTGCTTCTATTAGATGAACATTATTTCTTAGAGAAACACCAACCTAGTTAACAAGACATGATGTTTATCTGTTTTTATAATCTTGTAAAAGCCACAGTGTCTTCCTGTTAAAAATGCTTATTATCATGTGCTCTGAAGTGAAAAGCAAATGTAAAACTTCTTGATTTTCTTTGGTTGAAATAGAGAGAACGTGAAGGTAAGAAAATTTTCAAAGGAGAAGCCCATGAGTAAATCAAATAAGTGCTTTGTTTTCTTAACCTTGTGTTCAATCATCAGGAAATTTTGAGCATTTGTCTGTAATATACAGCTCTATCCAAATAATCTAATACCACACTTGTCTTTCAAGGGTTACTATACAAGGTGGAGCAAAAGTAAGTTTACAGTTGCTTGTAAGGAAATTAATACAGTAATTAATAAGAAATAATATAATACAAGAACAAATGCTGTGTTTCATGTTCTCACTACTGTAGACCTACTTTTGCCCCACCCTGTATGTCAGACCAAAACCTCATACCTGATCTTTCTTTGACACTGCTATGATGCGGTATGCTGGGCTTTTTATTTTTTCTCTCCTTGTTCTTTACCCTCTGGGGTATGAGAGAGCATACTCTTCTCACTTACTGTCTCCCTATCTCCTGCCTTCACTGGTTGTGAGACATAAGTCTGCACGCCTCACAGTGATCTGAAGAAGTGGAATCAATTGTTACATTCCTGGTATCCTGTTGGAGATATATTTCTCAGTTCATATCTGGGTTGGGAAGAAGGAGGCCTCTTAATCAATGGGCTGAGTCTACAGGTGAAAGAGAGAAATGAAGGTTATTCCCTACAGATGTATTTGAATTTAAGGTGAACCTGGAACACACACTAAAGATACCCATGATGTACTTCAACATGGAGGATAGTCACCTGTCTTAGAGAGGTCAAAGCTGGAGGTGGAGATCATGGAGTCAGCTTTGTAGGATTGAGAGATGAAAGCAAGGTGCTAGAGGAGTTCTGTAAGAGAATTACATCCAAGATGAATATAGGCTATAGACTAAGCCTTGTATTTAGCAAGAAGAGAAGGTAGAGCCTTCAAGGAAACAGAAGAATGAAAAACAGAAGAACTTGGAATGATTGGTATCTGAAAAACTGAGTAATGGTAAGTATAAATATATTCTAGGTAGAATGAACCTAGAGCTGTGGAGGAGAGAAAGAAGTAGTGTATGATTCTGAGGTTTTTTAGTTAGGTAACAAGATAGATTGATGACAGCACCATTTCACCAATGTCAGAAGACCAGACTTGGGGGAAATATATTGACTGAGCTACTTTTGGAATACCTGGAAGGAGGTTCCCCTTTAGATAGCTATGGATCTTGTGCTCATGAGCAAGGCAGAAAAGTGGTATTTCTCAGGTTGGAGTCCCCAAGCATATGGTGAAAGACAGAGGTAGACGTTGAACAACAGTTACAAAAAGAAAAAAGGACCTGAGCTAATTTTATGGAGGGCTCTGGGGTTGGAAGAACCCTTACAAGTTGTCCCCAATTCAGATAAGGAGCTGAAACTAAGCTTCCACCAACCAGTCATTGCTTGCTGATTGCAGATCTTGGACTGACTGGCTCTCCTCAGATACACACTATCCACAGGGGGTGTGTCCCTTGAGAACTATCTGGTGTTAGCACTGCCCTCAGTACAAGGATTGAGCACTTCAGTTCTGGGATCTGGGCAGCAGACCACAGCATCCATCTATTGTGCTGGTTGGATCTTCTTGGTTTTCTTAATTTTTGGAGCTGTTCTTCCAAGATTCCAATGACACTCTTTTCCTAGGAGAAGCTTTCAAAAGGAAGGTTAGTAGGATAAATTACATCCCTCTCTGCCAAAGGAGGTCTCCAGATCATACTGATTGTCATCTCCCTCCTCTACTGTTCATTCAAGTGATCCCTCAGTCTTAGCTAGAAGGTTTAGTTGGTGAAAGTGACACATGCCCTCACCCCTGGCACCATGCCCTTCCCAGGCTGTGTCTGCAACACTTGTCCATTTACTGTAGAAAACTGAGCAAGGGAGTACCAAGAGACACCCTAGTGGATGACCAGGTGCTATACACAATCTTACCTTTATAACCCAGCAGCCTGGGGTCCAGGCACTTGCCACCTTGTATATCAGCATAACATAAAGATTTGTGGGGAAGGATATAGGTTTTTAGTAACAGAGTTATTAATTTGAGGGGGCTGGAAGCATTCCTGCTCCAAGCCAGCCTCTTCTACAAAGCACAGAAATTCCCTTGTTACCAGAATGATTCAAGTCCAAATCCAGGTTACCCATTATTGCTTATCTCTAGCCCAAAGTGGTTACTCAAACAGTTCTCCATTTCTCCAGCTCCAGGCCCAAGCTCACTTGCGCTCACGCGCGCGCGCTCTCTCTCTCCTTCTCTCTCTCTCTCTCCCTCTCTTCCTCTCCCTCTCCCTCTCTCTGGTGCCAAAGTTGCCATCACCTTGCACAGCTTTTTCTCTCTGTTGGTGTCTAGGGTGGGCTGCCAGATCACTTCAGACAGTTGTGCAGGGGAAACTCCATTCCTGGAGCCCTGGCACCCAAGGCTGCCTTGCCCTGGAGGCAGAGGAACATTCCCAGCTCACACCTCCATGTGCTGTTCTCAGGGCAAGAGAGAGGAAACAGTCTAGAGCAATTGCAGCATGTTGCGCAGTGACCCAAGGGCTGGCACCCGGCAAGGCACACATCCCAACGTGGGATCCTAGCTCCGGGAGTTGGCCTCCAACTGTGCTAGGCATAAGCCCTAACTGCTCCCCAACCAGGGGCATAAGGCAGGGAAGACAGCCCAGGCTTCTGCTCATGCTTTGTTTAAATGCCTTCTCCCAAAATCCGATGCACTGTGGGAGTGTCCAGCTTTTTAACCAATGGTGGGCCATGTCTGCCGTATTTGTCTTTGACCCTCTTCCAGTCACGATTTTGCACGAGGCAAAGTCTCCAGTCAAGTACAGTTGTTTTGATCTTTTGGCCCTGTGCAGCCTCAGTACAAAGCTCCCACCTCCCTCTACCTGGGTGGAGCTAAACCTAGCTAAACTATTATTTACAGTAGCCCCAGGGATATGGAAGCATGCCCCAGCTCACATTAGGGCTGCAGTGCTTCCCAACTTTCTCAGTTGTCCCTCTGGGGAGCACAGCTCTGCCCTTCCTGCTGGTTGAGCTCTCTGGCCTGTTGCCACACAGGCTGACTGTTTACAGTTGCCTGAGGCAGTAGCTGGGCTGTTTACCAGGCTTTGTTTACAGTTGCCTTGGGGCAGTCTTCCATCTCCTGCAGTCTGCTTCTATCTGCAGCCTTGGCTCTCTGCCCTTTTGAGGGGAGGTAGTAGTTCTGGCACCACTTCTGGGTCCCCCTTCTGCTCCGGAATGATCTGGCCTTGCCACCCTGTTATACCTCCGCGTTTTTCTACCCTAACCAATGCCTTTTCCTCATGATCAGGGTTAATTACTTCTGCCAGGATAATGACTTCTTTCCTTGTCTGCTGGTTTTGAGCACAAGAGGCCAAAATAACTGGCTAACAGCTACAACTTAAAATGTAAGGCAGTCTTGCTTTTTCTCCTAATGGAAGGGTTCCCTTTCTGTGAACCAAGCTCTGTAAACCTATGGAATTTAGAGATGCAGTGATAAGCCTAGATTCCCCAAACAGATCACTGGGAGGGAGGGTAATCAGCCCCACTTCTTCTTTCACCCCTTATTTCCAAGATCCATGTGTTCTTCCTGCTGGGAACCCAACAGAGTTTTTGGGGTTAAACTGCACACTAGAACCTGGAGTGCCATCTTGCAGAGTCCCATCTCTAAGTTGATATTTCACTTGTACCTTCACTGGTCTAGCAAGTTGTATGGTAGTGAGAGGATTTATGTATTACACAGTCTTGCCACTGCTGCGCCTAGTTTGCTGTAAGTGGACCTTGTGGTCTGATGTGATATGATTTGGAATTGTGGTCAGTAAAACAAGCATTCTGTACACCACAGATAATGGCGCTGGTTCTCTTTGAGGGATGGTGGTGCATTGGGCTCAGCGTTGTTCTCTGCTGCTTAGAGAGTCAGGCTGTGCATAACCTACATCCCTGCCACCATGTCTTCTCTGTTCATGTGCCAGCACTGGGGTGACTGCTGGCTAGCTGATATTGACCAGCGAAGTCATTCCATCTCCCTCTTCTGTGGTGGATGTCCATGGTAGACGTTAACAGAACAGATGTCACGCTTCATGCCTATTCCTTTAGCTATATCCGCATGTCTCTTCCTCAGGTCTCCTTGTCCCTTACCTTCCAGTCCCTTGACCAACCAACTAAGTCATTTACCACATCCAGTGATTCCATATATGTTATTACCTCAGACTACTTCTCTTTCCACACAAAGTAGATAACCAGATGGACTGCCCAGACTGTGCCCATTGGGAAGGTTTCCCCTCATTACTGTCTTTCAAGATCACCCCTGAGTGGAGCTGTAGTGCAGCCACAGTCCATTTTCAGCTTTCACTTGTGTACTGAGCCAATCTACCTGTGAACCAAATTTGACCATTTCCATCCTCTGTTACTTGCCATAAGGGACCCACCCCCATATGGCAGGAGATGTGAACTGAGGAAGAGGTTTTGGTGCAACAGAGGTAATTGACATGGTGGTCTTAGGCATACCTGCCTCTGTAGCTCACCCGTGCCCCCCAGCCCTGCTCATGCTGACCCTAGATATACCACTTCCATTTGAGGATGGATTTCTTTGGGTACACCTACCCTTAAAACTTGGTAGGTCTT